CTTACTAAAACAGTTCATGTCAGGTACCTGCTTATTATTATTTAGAGAATTCATGAACTGCACTTAAATTGGGTCAAGTGAGCTGTTGCTTTATAAAAAAAATGAAGGGAGGAAAATTCTCAATAGTTTCTGACCTTGTGAATATTTAATTTCACTGGCAGGCACAGGGTTGTCTTTCTTATTTGCTTTTCGATTTAGAACCAATTTCGTAACACGTGATTTAACATGTGATTGACCAGCATATTGACTTGTGTAACATCTAATAGTTACCTATGCTGCTTAAAATCTGTTGATTTAAAGGCAGTATGTTCAGAATAAATAAATAAAAGAGTTTGGCGCTCCCTAGTGGTTGTATAAAAATGTAGAAAATTATGAAAGAAAGAACATTTTCGCCATTACCCGATATTTAAAATAATCTAATCACATATAAATTCTACGTATAGCGGCTTTTAATTTGCAAAGCAAATGAATGAAGTTCACTATTATTGAAAGAAGTTCTGTCGTTTCTGTGCAACACGCTGCAGCCTCCACCAATGGGCTCTATGGGGATGATGAATCCACCCACCATGATGTACTCACAGCCTGTGATGAGGCCACCCAACCCTTTTGGCTCTGTGTCTAGTGCTCAGGTGGGTGCACAGGAGTCTGACTTCTCCACCGGGCTGATGCATAATGAAGTCAGTATCTATTTGCGCAGTTATCAGGTTGAGTAAATAGGTGTATCCATTGTGCTGTGACGTGTACCATAATTAGTCACTGTGTAAGCGTGTGAATACAGCTGAAGATGATGACAGTTTTAACAATGGACCCTTCACTCTCTGGAGCTGAAAGGGACACAAAAAAAAACTGTGAATCATGTCCCTTGTTTTGACTCCCTGTTTTCCCCCAACAACTCCTTTTTATTAACCCTTCTGTCATACATCACAGCTTCTCCAAACTAATCTCATCCCTCCTTCAGTCTGTACTGACTCTGACTTCTCCTTTGGTCCTCCTACTTCCTGTATTTCTTCCTGAAATAGCCCTCCGCAGCCTCTAGTCCTTCCAGCCAGAGTCCTCTCCGAGCCCCTGGACAGGACCCGTTTGCACACCTCTCTCTCAAGGATTTCTTGTAGAGCATCTCTTTAGGTACAGCATGCTCTTTGCTTGCGGGTGCATCTGCATGCATCGCATACCCAGTGCTAATACCCTTCTGTTTCTTTTTTACTTTGCATACTCCTGATTAGACGCTACATGTATTTTTCTCATTTATCCTATTTTGTCTTGACCTTTGTTGCTTTCTTGCTTGTTTTGACATATATACTGTGTCTTTGATGTAGCCTTTGTTCTTCCACCGTCATCACATATTGCTCAAACCTGTTTTCTCTGAACTTTGTAGCCATTGTTGACCAATTAACTGACTGTTCGCTAGGTTTTGTCCCCATAAGTTACTGTTGCTACTCCTGTTCCTTTCTCATATAGCACATAGACAGTTTACAATGATAACAATATCAGTTTTGCCATTGAAATTCAGTTTCAAAATCAAAATCTATTTAAGCTAAGGTTAACTCTAGTTTAAAGTGCTGTCTCCTGAATGAATGTTTTCAGCTGACTCATTTTAAAGTCATAGAGATGCTCACATCATCGCTCTCCCCAATTAATGATCCATGTAAAAAAAAAAAAAAACAGCTTTGTTCTTTTATTGCAGGGTTGTGCTCTCTTATGAGAAAAAAATATATATTTTAACACAACCCAGTTTGGTTGCTTAGCTTCCACGTTTGTTTGTATTTTCCCTTTTTAATTAAGAAAAGGCGTTTATTGCTAACGCTAATGTTGGCTGCATTTCCTGCAGTGTAAGCTCAGTAGAGCAGGACAGAGCTGCTAACACTAAACTAAATTCTGTTAGCATCCAAGATTGATAGAACGGGCATTTCCCTCCTGTAATTCAATAAAATAATGTAGTCAGTTGATGTCCTTGGCTTTGCAAGTAGTGCTAGGTTTATACTGGTATTAAGCTAGCTAGATAGACTATTGCAGCTTTAAAAGCAAATACACACACAGTTTAATCCTTTACCCCTTTGCCCTTGTGCTTTTGGTTTTGCTAAAAATAACACAACCTGCAGACCAAACCTACACCCCCGTTAACACCACCTCAGCATAAATGTGAAGCTTGACAGACTTGCCGTGTGTGCTTATGGTTGCTAAGGGCAGAACAACATTGTTCTCGGGAAGGGTTTAGCAAACAGTCATTTAACGTATTAATTATTCACATTTTAGCCCTTCACTAACGTTGTCTGTTGCCTTTCTTGCAGATGCAGTTCATGTAATTTGAAGAAAAGTGTCTCTCGGAAGATGAAGCACTTAGCAGCAAAGCTTTGTCCTCGTTGCAGTCTAACTCTTCAGAGAAACATTCACACACCCCCAAATACAGACATGTCAAGAACACAATGGTGCAGCGACTGTCAGAAACCATGGTAACCATGTCCAAATGACGTTTGGCGATAGCTCACACCCATTATTCTGTAACTTGTCCGAGACGTCGAGTGATGCTGCTGTCTAAAACCCCCTTAAAGAGGATTCCTTATCCATTTTACAGTGTAATCTGTAAAGATAGTTATGGGTGCTGAGAAACTTGATGTTATGTATTTGGACTTACTGTGGTTGGATGTAAAGGCTTGATGTTCAGCGGGGAGGGGGTGGAAGGAAAAAAAAGGAGAGCGGTCCTTCCCTTTCTTGATCCGATCATCCAGTCATCCATTCCCTACAGTTATTTAACTGTCACTAAGTAGTGATGCTAATGGCGTTTACACCTGTTTAGTTTTTGTCTTTTTTACCGTGTTTACAGTAGACATTCCTTGTGTGTTGTTTGTATTTATTTATGATTATTGGTTTAAGATTGGGGAAAAAAATAATGTAAAATCTACAGTACATTGAACACCTGTGGGAGTGCTTCAGCATTAAACAAGGACTATCATTGAGAGGTAGAGTTAAAAATAGCTATTATATAAATTACACCTATTAAGCGGAATGATAGAGCACTAAATATTCTACGAGTTTTGTGTTAAGAACATTTTTTACTAGATGAAAGATTTCACAATCTCTGTTGTACTTAAGTGCAGGGGTTAGAGTATGAGTCAGTTAACAGTATATAGTCGATTCTGTGCCTAGGGTTTTTTGCAATGGATCGGTTTCCTGTCTAGTTGAAAAAAACACTTCATCCACGAATCTGAAGCGTTGCACTGGGTGGTGGGCTCCATTTGCTTTAAGCTTGGCATGCCATTGACTCACTGACCGTATTCAAGGCTGCCTTTACTCTGAATGTGAAAGAGTTGTCTTCATGTTGCACACATCTTTCCACACTACAGTTCCTCAGTGGGAGTCAGGGTGGTGGGGGCGGGTGGGTCGAGGGCGGGAGGTGGGGTTGGGATTTGAGAGGACGGAGTGTGTGTGCTTGCTGGTTAGCCGTCGCTACGCTAATTGGGGAAAAGAGTCACAGATTTGATGTAAATTAATTGTATAAACGATCCAGAGGACCAGGGTGGAGTGGAGGAGCACTGTTGATCGGTGCTCCGTGTATATAAAAACTGACTGTTCAAAAGTGAAAGATGTATGAAATATGAAAGCAATTCAATCAAATTTGACTCTACCTAAGTTTGATTCAGGATATTCTCTGCGTTTGTCTCCGCAGATATTTTCTTTATGTAATTAGAACGTGTAGCAGACAATGACTGAAGTCTTTTCTTTCTTTTACAAATAAAGAGCAGCTTCCACAAACTATTGTACAGTATTTTTATTCCTTTATTCAAGCTGAATGTGAAATCTGTTGTTTCTAAACTCGGAAGGTTTAGATTTGGGCTGGTCGAATAGGAGGATTAGTGTAAGCTTATAAAACATATAGTACTTGCACCCAAGCAGCTCTTGACAAATACTAAAATAAAATAAATGCTCTCTGCATGAGACACACTTTTTGTCATTATATGAATCTACTGCAGCGGCTTCCAAACCCCCCCACCCCCCCAACGGGTCCTAAAATAAATCTGAGGAGCTGGGTTCAACCTGCTTGGGGGGACCATGTGTCTCTGTTCATTCTGTAAATTACTGCAGGAGCATACGTGATCCCTGGTTTGTTGTGGCAATTGGGTAAAGAATATGCTCCATGTAAGGTATATACAGGGCCCATCTTCAAGACAGAGACCCGATGGAGTGATAAAGCGGGACCCACCTCAAGGATCTTATTGTGTTACACAATTAATCAAATTACAGCAGGTTTTTGAGGGCCTCGGGAGCCCGTCCTCCCAGGGCAGTCGTCGTCTGCTTTTGTTTGGTTTGGTAACCGAGCCTGTTGAAGGGTCACAAATGAGATTAAGAAAGAAAAACATATTCCTATTGCACACAGCTATGTTTAGGTTTCTGACTTTTCTTTGGGGTTCTCAAATGGGGATTGCTAAAACGTTGGTAACCACTGATTAAGTAACCAAGAGTTCTCTTGAATTCATACATTATAAATTTGTCCCCTTGAATATCCTACAATGTATTTTCCCAGCTTCTGTCACATTCTGGTCTTTCTGAGCAGATCAACAACAAACCAGGTGTTAATGGATGTGTCCTTACAACCCTGGAGTCACATCAGGATCTCAGAGTTAATACCGCAGTACTTCAGACAACTGTAAGGCTTCCACACATATTGTTTGCACTGTGAACGTGTAATTACTGTTGGAAATAGCCCATGTTCTCCTGGCCTGGGGATGTTACACCCTTTTGTCAAACACACTGATGCTATCAACCTGTGGAAACTGAGGACACCTGCTGGACGCGACCTGCCATTACAGCACAGATGACACACATAAGTTTGATTTAAAAAAAATATATATATATATAATAATAATAAAAATAAGCTCATACAGCAGCCTGAAAGAAAGCGTTGATGTGCTCAACTGGCTGTTTGCTGTTTCCTCTCGCTGCTGCACACGTCGGGTCCTCCCCATCTGAACACTGAGTCCGCCCTCCTCTCCTCAGCTCACCAAGTCCAGCGCATCCAGCAGCAGGAGCAGGAGCAGGAGCAGCCCTGTGGAGGAGGTGAAAACTTCTACTCCTTCACCTTGTTTTTTTGTTTTTGTTTTTTTCAAACGGACACATCAGGATGGGGTTTATAAGAGCAGTCTGTAGGAAGCCTGCAGGTGTCCTGTAAGGTAGGTGACATGCCTCATACTTAAAGTAAAGTAAGTAAATGATGCCTAAAGACACGTTGAGCGATATGAAGAAAGGAAGTGGTACCGTGAATCATTAAAGGTAAACTTTTGTCACTTTTATTAACGTTTGCTTGCATTATAACGTTTATAATACTATACTACTACTATACTTTAGTAAAAGTACAACAGTATCAGCATTAAAATGTATTTAAAGTTAAAGTACTCATTATGCAGAGGGGCCAATTTCAGAATAATATACATTCTATTATTGGATTATAATGATTGATGCATTGTAATGTTAGAAGCAGGTATAGGTGAAGCTTAAGTGATTTTTATACAGTTATACTTATTTCTATAATATTACACCATCATTTATTTGTTGATATATTTTGTAATATTATTAATATAAAAGGTAACCCAGGTTATCAAATACTATAGTATAGCAGCAGATTATAGCTGAAAATGGAACAAGTAGCTCAAGATTGTACTTATGTGCAGCACTTGAGTGAATGTGCTTTACACCACTGTCAGTCACATGACTGTTTCTATCCTTTTTACTTTTATCAAATAAGTCAAGTTAAATCTAGTTTGCTAAAACTAGAAAAAAGAAACATTTTTAGAAACTTTTTTACCTTTATCTCAGAATCACACAAAGACATGTATGAGTGGCCAATGTATTACTGTCAAGGACTGTATTACAAAGTCAAGGTGTCTTGACTTTGACTTTGTAGAGTCTGTAGAGCTGTCATAACATTTGTGTCAACAAATAAACCTACATAAACATGCAAGATACTGGTTATTATTTTATGGTGCAGAACCAGGGCCAGGCTCTGCTAAACAAATCTGTTTTGATTCAAATCTTTGCTTGTTTGTGAAATATTTGATCATTTATATTTATTTAAATGAAACCATGTGAGAAGTTTTGAGGAGAACTGCTAAAAACTTAGACATCTGAAATGTGTCAAAAGACTTCAACTAGACACTGCTTCTTTTGTAAGGGGTCACAAGACAAAGAGATTGGGAACCACCTCTCCTCTCCTTGGCATAAACAAGGTTGTAAAACTGTACGGAAACAGTGAGCAAAAGCCTTTTTTTTAAGGATGTGACAATGACATGATTTGTCTGACAGCAACAGACCCAGCTGGTGGACGTTAGCTGCTGCTGAGCGTTTCCACACCTGCCCGCTGAGAGAAGCAGGAGGAGGAACCATGATTGACCTGAGCCACCTGACGGAGGAGGAGCAGGGGGTGATAATGACGGTGCTGAGGAGGGACGCCGAACTGAAGAAGGCCGAGGAGGAGAGAATCAGGTAGAAATATGCGTCTCCCATGTATGGCAGTCAAAAGAAATGTGACATCCCAGAACAATGATTTTTATTTAAGGTGGTAAATGTTTCAGATGTCCAACAGAATCCTTCTCGGATTGTTTTACATGAGCAGAAATGTCTTGACATTTTAGCCAATGTCATGTTATTCAGCTAATGTCATTTTATTGATTTAATAAGTCCTTCCAATGCCTGTTTTGTGAGAAGAGGCCTTTGTTGGACAGTAAACATACCGGTCAAAATGATACATGTCTGACCATAATAGAATAACACAATAACAGCTTGGCCGGATACAGACGTCGCCTCCATTGCTGAGATGCCTCAATGTGAGATGTGCAATTAGATTACAGCCAAGGATCATGCTGCTTCTGACGGACAGGAATAGAAACCATTAAAGGCCTCAGTGATGAGAGACACCTAACCTGTGAAGAGTGTGATGAGCACAGTGAATCCCGATACTGCCTCCGTTCAAGTTGGAATTAAAGACGCTCCCTCTAAGCTCTCTGTTTAGCCTCTGGGAGGGGTCAGACATTCCTCGCAGTGTATTTCAAAGGCTTGTTAAGGCAAACAAAAGGGCCTCAAATCTTTTCTGACCTCTCCCGTGTACCGAAACAGAAGTAGAAAACTTCAATCCAAATGCAACCATGCATGTAAACTAAGAAGAAAAAAAAACCTCTTTGGAGATGTGTTGTCGAGAATGTCACGAAACAATGTGCTTTTCATTGTGAGTTTAATGGAATTGGCCGGCAAGGTTTTTCATCAGCGGGAGGCTGAATGCTCGCTGTGTCTCAACCAGTCTAGTGTAAAAGGATTAAGCCAACAGCCTGTAATAATGTGCTACCCTTTTTTCACATGACCGCCGTGGTTCTCCGTCAAGGGGGAAAGATGAGCTGGAGTGGTCATTTTAATGCATTTGATTTAATTTGAACTTGATGGAAATGTTTTCCGAATTCCTTCCTTTTCCATAGATCATGTGCAACTGTTATATAAAGCTGATAGTGAGGCAATGAAAGGCAGAAGAGGGATAGATGGCGTGATAAACAATAGATTCATTAACGTTATGATAATATATGTCATAATAATGTGATAATGTTGTTAGTTTCTTAAGATGAGTTGCCTCAGGAGATTAGAAACAGTAAAGATAAAAATAAGCAGCAGAAGTTCAAATGAATAAAATAAAACAACGGGGATAGATTTACAGGATCTGAGTACCAATAGGAAACATCCTGTGCATTTCAATTTAATGCATTTACTATTTTCCAACCCTTATCTAAAATCTTCAGTTGAGCAGAAATTCATTTACGCATGTGGCGTAAACAACTTCAAAACACCCTGCTGTGGTCTGTTTCTTCTTTGTCCGCCGCTGGCTTTATATTTCACCTCATATTTAGAGATTAGCGCTGCTCAAACTCAATTCAAACGGTGTCAGATTCTCAATTCAGTGCAGCTTAAAGGAAGCGTTGTCTTGTATTTGTTCATTCATAAGAGAGGGTCCTTTTTGTGTCTACGGTGTACAGGTATGGTGTCCTGTGTGTTTTTAATAACTTCAGCTAGAATTAACATATCGCATAAAAAGACAGCAAAACCTCTCAGTTTAAGCGTTTGCAGACAACTCCTTTGTGTTTCCCCTCCAGCAAACTGGAGAAAATACTGAACAGTGGCTCGCAGACGGAGATCAAGCGGAAGTACCTGACCGGAGAGTGGTTTTACGAGGCCAAGTCTCGCAGGCACATGGACAAGATCCACGGGTCTGAGATCATCCTGGCCTCCATGAAACAGAAGAAACCTGTATTAGGTGTGTTCATTCTTTACTGTTTACAAAGGGCTTGTTTTAAAGAACGTGTTTTCCGGCTGTACATTACTCTGTGATTCTGTCAGAAACTTTACGTGTTATCTAGCCGCAGGTTGCATCTTCAGAGGTATTTTCATGCTCTCTCAGATGTCTGCTGTCTGCCACAGAGGATAAAATGTTTGCCTGGGGTGAAACCAAAGTTTAAATCCGAGCTTTTGACATATGGCCACTGCTGATGCCTGCACAGTGGACTTATATGTTACAGCGAAGAAGAAGATCAGAGTAAAGTGGCACAGTTGGTGAAAAAATTGGATTTAAAGTTTGTGATTTGGCCCCAGGCTAACATTTTATCCTTCGGAGCAGATAGTTGACAACTGTGGGATCACAAAAATATTACTGTGGCTTCGGATAACAGGTGAAATATACCAATATAACATTTAGATTTATACCTCTTAGGCTTGCTTATGGTGTGACTGAATCTCAGATAAATGGGGCCCAAAAATCTAAATAATACAGCATTTTAAAACTGTGTGTTGATAAACTCTTGTAAACTCAGCTCTTTTCCACTTGTTTGCTGCAGACGGGTCTCTTAGAATTGAAAGATCCAAGGCACCCAGCAGTCGAGGTTCAGATACGGTCGCTCCGCCAAAACCTGCCAGATGTTTGGAAGCACTACAGCCGCAGGATATCAAGTACACAGCCCTTTCTTATTCACAGATTTATCTCAACTGCAGACCCACAAGCCATTTCCATCCCTCTCCCTCTGGCCTGCAACATGATGTCAAAAATCTAAAATAATCCCACCAATCATTTTTTTCAACTTAAACTACTACATTACATGTGACTAAAAGTCCTATGAGACAACAAGACCTGCGGTGACCCCAAGCCAATTTGAGTTTGAGACCCCTGGTCTTTAACTTCTTAGTGTTCGTGCTCAGCCTGCCGCAGTGCTGACTTTGTTCACTGTGGTCTGAGGTGGTGTGAAATGGTGTGGAAACCTATAACTGTTGTTAACAAGGTTTTGAAAATTCAAAAGGTGGCGAGTGATGTCTTCATGTAAACACTTCATTGATTTGTCCAACACATATCTCAGCACTCTTAATCAAGTCTTGTATGGGTGTTTCCACTCTTAAATCTCACAGTGACGGTTGAGATGCTAGTACAAAGTGTTCAGATTGCATTAAATAGCTCAATTAAGTTAAAATACTTTGTTTCTTTCTCACTCTGTCAGTGTGTGTGAGTTTCTGTATTTGAGTGTGTGTTTGTGTATTTGTGTGTGAGTGCAGTGTGTGTGGTGTCTTGTGACTCAGCTTGTGTAAACATAGGTGGTTCTAACTGGGAACATGTCAGTTTTATAGCCGAGCAGCAGCTAACAGCTCACCACACTGCAGGATGTAGTCTGACGTGTTACGGGAAAAACAGGCTGACTGTTTAGCAAAGTGTTCAATTCAGTAGAGCTCCCAGAATAATTGCCCTAAATGAGAAATAACTGTTTGTGTTATTTCGAGAAGGATCAGGATGTTACTCTCCTGTTGTTCTGAAGTGGAATACCAGTAGTTTTTTATCTATGTTGATATTTTTTAATCATTTTTTTCAAAGTAACTGGATTATTACGACATCCTGAATACTTTCACAGTGTGTTACTTACTCCAGTTGAACTCCAGAGGAAGATGCTTTGTCTATCAGAATAAAACTTGGCAAACAAGACAAAATGTACATTTAGGTAACTGTGTGCACATTTAACACCCTTCTTTGACAAGTTAAGTCAATATTTGATTTGGCCAAGCTTCTGTACTTTGTGGAGACAATGAAAAATTTCCTAAACATACAAAAGACTCAAGAATGTGATTACTTTAACTCTGTCATCTGATAATGTTATGTTCCTGGGTAGTTCCTGTGTTATATTGCATCTTATGCATATTTAATGCAATCATTCATTAATCAAATAATTAAAGATTTGCTCTCCTGTAATATGAGTCATATTAAGCCACAAAATACCAAATATTGTGAGTTTATCTCATACGTTTGGAATTCCTTTGATATTGGGGTAGGTTCAGTTGGAGAGTTATTTTCCTCTTTGATATCAGCGTTATTTACGAGCCAGCAAGCCCCAGTCATGCACATTACAGCGTACTTGCTCCTGAGATGTTTTCCAGCAGGCACATCATGTTAAAATGCCTCTGTGTAACCTCGTCTGATGCTTTACAGTGCTTATATTTCTTTTGAACTCACCTTTCTGTACTAAATGTTTAAATTGTTTTTGCTCTCAGTGATGCAGAAAAAGAGAATCTGAATTCAGCGGTCCGCTCTCCAAGAACGGTAATCATATGTCTTACAGAACAGTCGTTTTCAGTCTTTTTTCTGTACATTTCTTCCTTTCATTGGTAAAATCTTGTTACAGGCACATTGCAGTTATTGTAATGTAAAACATTAATTCTTGACATTTTCCTTCAAGCCAAGGCACAACCCTTTCAACCGTGCTTCCCTCATTGTTGTTGAGCCACCTGAAAATAATAATGACATGTCAACCAGTCGGGACCAGGAGTCGTCTGAAAGAGGTTTGGATTGAAATTCGAAACAGATAAACACATTTATGAAGCTGTGAGACATTTACCACATGATCCTTTCTTCTGTGTTTCCCTCAGAGCCCATATCTCCACTGAAGAGCCACCCGGCGGGAGAGGCCAGTCAGACTTCAGGGGGCTCCATTACTTCAGAGGGCTCATCTGTAGGGTTCAGGCCAGTGCCGAAGAAGAGGACATTTCTCTCAAGACGTACATCCACTCAGTTGGAAAGCAATGGCCTGGGGTTAGATGCTCAGGTAGGATCAGCGGCCGTTGTTCCTGCCCCAAGACGGAGCCTCCAACGAGGGTCCAGTGGGAGCTCTAACCAGTCCTACCCGAAGGGCCAAGACGAAATGCCTCAGAAAAGTGTAGTTTCTGATCAAGTATCTCAGTCTGCTCAACCATCAAAATCTCTAGATGAAAACTCCCCGCAGCCACTCTGTGATGTGTCTCAGGTTTCGTCTAATTCCAGTCTGGAGAGAGAAAGAAACCCAACTTCTCTAACAAGAGACAGGTCAGTGAACAACTTTCACCTAAAAACTTTTATGAAACCCTCTCATCTTTCCTCTGCAACTTACCACCTACACAATTACAGACCAGCCACGTACACCAGGAGTGATGCGTCCACTGACAGAGAAATCCCAAAAAAGAACGATGAACAAGAGGATGAGACACACAGGGAACGTGCAGCAGTGAACATCCTGCACACCGGCAGCATTCAGGATTCAGACAGAGAAAACAGCAGTATTGTGGGAACAGCAATGAGACAGGAAGAGCTCAGTTTGCCTCAAAGCACTGTGGGTGAGTTCAGTAACAAGAAATAACTCAGTTAAAAGTTTGTACTAGCCATTTGGAGCTTGCTGGAGGCTGTTTTAGTGCTGGATACCCAGTGTTAATTTGATATTTATGGTTTTGAGTGAAATGTCTCAACAACTGTTGGATTTAGTGCTATGAAATTTGCTAGTTGTAATAAGTTTGGAGATCCTTTATTTTCTTCTAGCGCCATCATCAGGTCGAAATTCAGTTTGTGCAATACTTTGCTTTATGACTAAAGACCTGCAAAATTGATTGAATTCCCATCAGCCTCAGCTGTACTTTGTGTTTATTGCTGATTAGCAAATGTTAATGTGCTAACACATAAAACTAAGACATTGAACATGGTATAAACAGTATATGCACTTCATCAGCAACATCAGCATGTTAACATTGTCAGTGTAAGCATGTTAATGTTCCTCACAGTGCTGCTAGCACAGTGGCTACAGTCTGGTTAATAAAAGTGGGCTCCTGGGAGATAAGGCGAACTTTCTGCAGGACAATCACTTTCTGACTTCATTTTGACAAGTATTAAATTCTTTTTTCATACCTTTCTTTTCAGATCCAGATCTTCCAGTATCTTATGACCTCATCTTCATTGATAAGTCTGACAAGAAATTAAATCAGAACCATGCATTTAAATTATCCACCCAGACTACCAGTCCCACTGGTGATGAGGACTCCATCGTGAAGGTGCTGGACTGGTTCAACCGTAGTACAGACAGCAGTGAATGGTTAAATACAGATGATGGTCCAGAGGCCACAAAGAACCCTCACAAACATGTAGAAATGAGCAAATTAAGAGGTGAAGATTCATTAAGAAAAGAAGCTGGGGATGTTATAAGTGAGAGGAAGAAAGAAAGTCTTGAAATGAAGAGAGGTCACTTACAAAAACAGCCCAATGAGGGTAAAGAGTTAAGAACAAAGGACAGAATAGGCAACAAGGAACTAACAAAAACACAAGAAGAGGTGACGAAAGATACCAGAGAAAAAATGCGGTCACAGGAATTTGGAGATAATAATGAAAGCCAACCACCCCAAGTCGCTCATCTGAAGTCATTCTGGGAGAAAAGCAATATGGGTCCTAAAATACTTATCAGCAACTCAATCACGCCCAACGACAAAGCACAAAAACCTGCTCGCCTCAAAGCAGAGAAAGACGAGGAGAAAGTGAACAAACCCCCCGTGTCTGATATGTCCTCTGTGCCTGGAATATACAATGGGAAGGGGAGTTATGATAAGTACGCCTCAAATCATGGAGATGAAAGAGAACAGCTGGTAATCAGTCCACAAAAAGATATAGGAGACATTGTCCATTATAATAATAACAAGGATGTAGACAGACAAAGGAACAATAATGACCCAGCATACAACTCAGAGATAAAGTTAGCAGACAGACCCCAAGTAGCTGACAGAAGAGATTCAGACACTGAGATTTTAAGTGTAACCAGACTCAGTCCACAGCTAAGGGCAGCTATCCAGTCCAGACTGAGTCCAGAGTTAGAGACCATCTCCTTAGTCAAACCAAATCCACAGCCTGACAGTATTTCCCAATCTAATGAAACCCCACTGCAAGACGAACTGTCCAAGACTATTCCTGTGTCTCAACTGGATATAAATCTCCAAACAAGGGACAGTCCAGACTCTGAGAAGCTCTATTTGTCCAGAAACAGCCCATATATGGACTACAAGCAAGGTGGGAATGATATACAGATCACCCAAAACAAACCACAAATGCATAGAAGTTCAAGTGAAGATGTTAAGAGGAGGGACAGTGAAGATAAGAGCATGCAATCCAGCATGTCACCAAAACGAAAGGAAGATACGTCTAATAAAGACAGAATCAGCAGTCCTCACTCAAACAGACAAGGTTTACCACATCAAGAAAGTACTGCAGAGAGGATAAAGCAGCTCAAATCTTTCTGGGAGCAGGAGAGGAACAAGCCCATGTTTTACACCGGGAAACCTAAAGCTCTTGGGGATGGTAAAGTCACTCGTGGTACGAATCAGGCGAAACTGAATAAAAGATTTACAAAGTCGGAGTACGACTTGAGGTCAATTGGAAATTTTTCAGGCAGTGATGAGGATGACGCTGATAGAAATCATCAAAATTTTACAGTCCTTCCGTTGAATCAGAGGATAGAAAAGTCGTCCCCTAGTCTGGGCACAAGCCGAACACAATTTAACACTCTGCGTGAGTTCTGGGATGAGGCCACGTCAGATACCAAGGGATCATTTTCCTTTGACAAACCCAAAAGCCCCAAAAGGAAAGACTCAATAGGTGCCCAGCTTACATCTCAGGAGTTAAAGTGTGGTGACCCTGAGATTTACCGTGAGAAAACAAGACCAGCTGTCATGAAATCATCTCCACCTTCTCAGAATCGATCAAAGTCGCCTCATGATACGAGGTCACGAGGAGCGAGTGACTGCAAAAACAACCTGTCGAATTATACAACAGCTGAGCAGCAGAGAGAGTCCAAAAGGAGCTCAAAGGACTCTAATAGAGAGGAGAAATCCACGAAACCACAAAGCAATTCAGGAAAAGAGACTCGCTCTCCTAAGACCAGAAAAGACAGCTTTAGCAATTCGAGTCGTGGAAATTCAATGCGTCGGGCCACTAGCATGTTCGCTCTGAGTGTTCCTGATGAAAAAGATCAAAGCCAGCTCAAAATGGATGTAAGCCCTGTTCACTCTCAGAGCAGGAAGCAGAGGCAGAACACCGAAAAAGGCACCATGTTGAGAAGAGCATCAGAGGACAGTGAGACTCTGGCTCCACGTGCACGGGCATGTGTTCCTAGAGACTACCGCCATTACCTGGGCATGACAGATGACACCAGCGTCCACACCTCCTTCGTCCCAGCTCTTAAGGACGAGGGATCAGAGGGCAAGTCTGGGTATGAATTTGACCTGGTTGGGCCGGTGAGAGCCAGCACTCCAGTGAGTTCAGATGACCGTTATGGCAGGAAGGGCAACAAGACGAGTCAGCGGCCCCTGTGGGCAAACTACAGCAGTTCAGACACAGGTCAGGAGTCATCTGTGAGCAGCACATCAGAAACCTGGTCCAACTCGAGGAATAGTTCAAACCGTGAGCACCAACTTCAGTTTTTTACAGTGTAATACAAGTAACTAAAGCTGTTTTCACTGTAAGTCAAAGTATAAAAATCTAAAAATTCATGTCAGCATCCCTGCTACCTTAACCAGCTAATATGAGTTATTCTTGAACAGTTTTCACCCTATTGAGTCATAGTTCTGTCTTCTGATCAAAACAAGTAAGGTAAAAATTACGTTTTGGACATGGAAATTAATTATTGACCTTAAAAATAAATCTGTATTTAGTATTTTTAATAACAGTAATGATAAATAAATTGTACATAGTACTTTTTGAATATACTCAGTTCAAGTTTTACGATATAGATTTGAAAAAATCCAGATAAAATACACTTAAAGGTAGCCAAAATAACATAAAAAAACAACAACAAGAAGATCTAAACATCCAGACACTCCTTTAAACAAAATGTATTGTCTAATCTTTTGGTCATGAAGACTAACAGTAAACAAATTAAAGAATTAAAGGTTATTACTTAAAATTGTATTATTTACCTTGAGGCATTAATATGTTGAGTGTTACAACACAGGCAGAGAATAATATTTAGTTAGTTAATAAGAAAGAATAAAAACAACTTTTTATAAAGCAGGGAGTTTAGTCAAGTAAAAGTTTATAATGAATGAATATGTAGATCTCCTACAGCTAGCATCTAACAGATATGTTTGTTTTATAAATTTTATATATACACGAGTCTTACAATGTATGGAAAATCATTTGAAGTAGTAATTCCTGCTGTTTGCAGACTCATTATTATCACTGTGAGTTGTATCCAGCAGTATCCTTGATATCATGTCCGTGTCGGGTTATCTGTGTTGGCAGAAGCAAATCTCTGTAAACACAGTGTGCACCTGCGGTCAGCTACCCATGTTTAATATGTGGGCTGGGCAAGATACATAGCTTTAACCTAACTGACACCACACAGATAAAAACACATTTCACTGACCTACAACTGTAACAGCAGTTACTAATGTCAGCTTTCTTTCACAGAAGTTTTAATAGCTTTGAAGCAGCAGCTATACCTATAAATGCCTCAAACACACTACAAAGAGTACATACTGTACAATTTCTAAAGTTGTAATGAATTGCACATTTGATTAACTCTTGTTTGGTTATTGCACACAGCATTTTATGTTTATGATGGCAAATCATCCTATTTTGCTAATAAATCTATACCAAATCAAACTCAAGCATGTGCAGGCTTATATCTAATAGCATACACTATATATTACAAAAGTACCATTAATTATCTGCATTATTACCACAAATATTTAGATTTTTACTTGTATATAAGTTGGGCTGCAATTTTGTTATCAGTTATAAGACACTTTTTCAGCAAGATAGCCTGCCAAACATTTGCTGCATCCAGGCTCTCAGGATTTGCTGCTTTCCTTTGTCTAACATAATGTAATATAGTAAATTAAATATATTTGGGGTTCAGACTGTGGGTTAGACAAAATAAGACATTTAAAGATGTCACATTGTGCTCTGGGATATTATGATGGAAATGTTTCACAGGTTTCTCACAGGTTTTACAGACCACAACAATGAATCAATTGGGGAAAGCATGTTAATCAGTTATATAAATAATAGTTAGTTACAACCCTAATTATAAGTATAGACACATGAGTTCTGTGAGCAATATAATCTGCATTCAGATCACTTTATATTGGCTCAAAATACCAACTCATTATTATTTTTTAAGAGCATTTAGAAGTTAAAACAAAGACTCTGTCCTCTGTTTAACATAATGTGTGTTCTGTATCACTGTTTACTTACCAATTTGAGAATTAAAGCCTGTCCCGACTGTAAACCAACAAACAAAAAGCAAAGTTGATTTTTTTTTTGTAGGGGAGAATGACGATGAGGGCCAAAACCCTGTAAGGAAAGCGTTGAGGCGAGCAGAAGCACGGCCTAAAAATCTGGCTAAAAGTATGGAGGACATCACAGCATCCTTATCACCACGTGAGCATGCTCTCAACTTCCAAGTCAAATTGTCCATATGTGCAGATTTTTTTGGATCACTGTGATTTATTTATTTATTTTTCACAGGACAAGAAAGAAGGCAAGACCCGACTGCCGACATGAGACGAATCAGTGATGGTAAAGATTTCATGTTCATTTTCATTATGGATATTGTTGCAAGCACAGTGGCAAATGAATCAAGACTTTGTATCCTCTGCTTCCCAACCCACCACTGTTTAGTGTCAACCATCCCGTCACCCTCCTCGTCCTTATTTTCGGATCCAGACCACCTGAAGAAGATGAGCAAATCAGTTCCTTCGTTCTTACAGAAGGAGGTAAAACCATGCCTGCATCTTTTTGTCCAGTAGGTTAAAACCTGCTCTGCATCCTTTCTGCGGCTGCTGTCTGTGTTTCAGGACGTTGGCAGAGACACTGACTCCAACTGCGAGGACAGTTACGACCGAGGAAGACTAATGATGGGCAACTCTTTGACTAACCTCACCAGCTCCTCTGGCATGGCGTCTGTGTCTTCTGTATGTTCACACACAGCAGCAGGAAATGCTTACACGTGCTTCACATTCAAACACTGCTCTCTTAAATTGTGCTGCTCGTTGGCTTTTAAGCTTAAATTCTGACATTAACCCATAATTTGTTTTTTCATTAGGAGTGGTATCACTGTTTTAGTCGACACGATACATGTTGTGTCTAAGAGTTTAAACAAACGCTATTCAAGTAAGGTCCAGAACAACCATTAAAAGAGTACACCGCCAATTTAGCATCGCTCTACTATAACACTGTCAGACTCACAAAACTAAATCTAATTTGATGCAGAGATGTTGTCCATTTTGCATTCTTCAAAAAAATCTGGAACCTACATTACCCACAATGCAACTCTACCCCTGACAGTTTGGTCTATATTCAGGCATGTTATGCTGGTAGTGGCTAACATAGTCCTGAGCTGCATGCTGGTAAGCTCCCTTCTGTCTAACTAAACACCCCCAGATTATTTTAATATTCAACTTCACTGTGCGCCACACTTGCTGGAGCCACAAAAAGCTTTATAGTGGCTTTATCCAACTGTCTGCTACCTAGTAGCACCCCACAAGACTTGTAAACAGACTTGTGTGTGTAAAAATCAGCGGAGTTCCCCTTTAAAGGATCAGTGTGTAGGATCTAATGGCATCTAGCAGTGAAGTTGCAGATTGCAAGCATCTGAATACAACTCAGCCTTCAACATATGTAGGAGAAACTATGGCGGCTGCAAAACTCACATGAAATACCCCATATCTAAAGCCAGTGTTTGTTTGTCCACTTTGGTCTATTGTAGAAACATGGGGGATGAACCGAAACGAAAAACAATTCTTCTATTCAAGTGATTATACACTAATGAAATTTAATACTGAATATTATATTCAATTTCTGCCAATCGATCCTCATAAAAGTTAGACAGTGGACCTTGGACTGCCTTTAAATGAGCATAGTGGATCTTATACTGTTGACCTGTGTAACAGGTGTTTCCTTAGAACAGCCAGCTTGTTCAGTCTGCCTATTCTGTATAAATAAAGCTAACATTTAGAACCATTCAACAAAATCACTACTGCAGACCTTGAAAGGTTAATCGCTTCTAATTCTGGGCCATTTGGTCCTCCAGTTTTCTCAGCCTGTGACCTAAATGCATAATTTATTGTCTTACACTTGGACCCTGGCTCATTAAAAGATTGTTGGCATGTGGGGAAGAAACAGACATACTGTTGAGTTGCAGTTCATATTTAAAAAAACAATACAAAACAATGATTCAACTCATGCATCATTCAATACTACACAATACATGCACACACAGAAATAAACACATAAATACAAGATTAATCAAAAGCACACACACAGACATCCACCTGATGGATGTTAACACTAAATTAGATTCATTTAGTCAGCATAAGCCAGTAAAACAATGGAGCATCAAGCAGTAATTCCAATCACATTTTGTCTTCTGTAACAAACGTAACAACGTAATGAGCAAAAAGTAACTGACTCATATCTAGGAATTCAAGCCTGAAAGCCCCAGCCCCTTTGTATGCAAGAGGTGGACAATAAAACGGGAACTCCTGACACTATAATGCAAGTATTTAACAATATCATATAACGTGAGCAAGAGGAAGCTCAAGCCTTTAAAATGGTCACACAGCTGAATAAACTGACAACCAAAATGGGAAACGGGGATTGACATAAGTTTATGTATGCTGCTGACTACTTTGTTGTGTCCACCTCCCTACCTGTCTATGGTCAGGAGTCTGTGTGCGTCGCAACAGCGATGCAGTCACCGGGACAAAATATACGTATATGTAAAGAAATCGGTTATACACTCACCCAACTTTCCAGAAGTAGCCTCTGCCAGACATTGTATTCAATAGAACAATCAACAGTCTGCCTTGGAACAAAATTGTGTCGTCTGATTTGTCTTTTTTTCCACAGAAAAAGAGCTATAATATTCCACATTCAAATTTCTTTAAAAAAACGCTATTAATCTTTTCCGTATTTTAAATTCCAAAAACCATGAATATACGCTAAACTCTACCTACCGGTTGACTTTATAATGTTTTCACTCGCTGAACACAAAGATGTCTTCTAATTCCAAGATGTAAGTACCATTCATCAGTGCTACTGGTGGCGAACAGAGAGGGAGGGAGAGATATAAATATATAATATAAAAAATAAATAATATATAAATGTCATGCCCCATATATAACATCAGAATTTTCAGTGTAGCGACAGGGAGAAACTTTCCACTTTCCCCGGCAAACCTGAATTTCTGCACTCGGACAAGGGACTTACTCAGAAAGACAATAATTCTAAACCTTAAAGTCCCGTGACTGCAGAGCTAACTGGATCCTTTTAACCCGCAAACACAATACGCAGGAGCTGTCGTGCTGCTGGATCAGCGTCCCTCACATACTTTCCCAAGTAATTTTCACTAAGAGGTGCCTCAAAAGATGCTCACAGGCTTGATAAATCATCAAACTCATTTAAAATCACCCCGTCCCTCAACAAACTAGAATGCTCTGTCTTAACTGAAATCACCTTGCAGATGCGATGAACAAGCGTAGCAA